CCGGCATGATCACGTTGGTCACCTGCCACATGTGCAAGGAGGGGCTGAGCACAGGGCACAGCACCACCAACACCCAGGGGACAAGTTCCTGATGCCCCCAGCCCGGAGGAGTGTGGTTTGGGCAGGCATCAGCTGCCGACCCCCATGGCAGCACCTCCTCGGGGAGGAATGTGGCCTGCGGCGCGCTCAGCCGGGGTCCTGGCTGAGCCTCAGCCCCCTCCTGTGCCGGGAACGCGGCATTCCCACGGACAGAGCAGCCTGCTGGGACCGGGGCCAGCATCCCTTGGTCAGGGACAACGACCTACGGCCGCTCCCCGTCTAACCCCATCGCTGCCAGCAGCCCAGCGCTGCCCAGCCCCGTGCCAGCATGGGAGGGTCTCCCCAATGGGATGGGACAGGATGGGACTTCTCCCAGCCCGACGCCCCCCTGCCCTCCCAATGGCTGCCCAGGCGGGCAGAGGTCAGGCATCGCTCCCCAAAATCAGTTTCCAGCCTGGCAACAAGGTCTTACGCTGGGGAAAGTTGAGCCTGGGACTGAGGGGACAGGGTGACCTCGCAGCCCAGCAGGACAGGGACGTGCTGCCTGGCAGACCCACGCCATGCCACCTTCTCCCCCCGCCAAAAAGCACCGCCACGTCTCACCGGCTGGGCTGCCTTGGCCGGGATGCAGCACGCCTGCACCCCAGGACTGCGAGAGGGTGCTCTGGCCAGCCCCAGGGTGGTGACCGTAGCTGGAAAGGGGGACACTGGGGACGGGCTGCCCGTGGCTCACCTCTGCCTGCGTGAAGTTCTTGTCGGCCCTGAGGAGATACGGAGTGATGAAGTTCTCCCCGGGCCGGATCTGCGTCATGAAGCCGTAAAAGCAGAGGTAGAAGACCTGTAGTTTCCAGCGCTGGTCCGGTGCCGTTTCCGATGCCGACTTTTTGGCGTCGTCATCCTTCTTGGGCATGGCTCCGCCGGCTCTGCAGCGGGACGGCAGCGTTATCCAAAAGCCACGTCGCTGCAGTTTCTGGGGAGAAAGCAGTATTTGGCATGGGCTCAAATTCCTCCATAATAGCAAGGCAAATAAACACTGCTACCTTCTCCCCAGGAGATGTTCTTGCAAGAAGAAAAGCAGCTACGCGTCTCGCTGTGCAAAAGCGTGGGGGGGGGGCCATCCCGTATAAAAGAACCTGGATGCACAAAGCGCTCGGCTCTGCAGCGGGGTGTGTTTGGCTCCCATCACCTCGCCTTTCTCCCTATTAAGAGTCAGTGGGGTTTTACCCCCTCCCCTAAACGAAGCTTTTTCTCTGAGCCAGGTTACTCCGCTGCAGGCCTGGGGCAGACACCCTGCGCCGGGGACAGTCCGGAGAGAGACGGCAGCGGCCGCGGGGACCGCGCCGGTTGTGAAAGCGAGTTAATGTGCACACTGGGCACAGGGCCACCCGTGTTATACGTTAGCTGGGCGGTCAGCAGGACTTCAGCCGAGCCACAGGCAAGCGGCTGCCCC